TTTGTTGCAGTCTTTTTTTCAGCTAAAATTCGTTAGTTACCTAGAGTATTTAATTCCTCTTCCTTGATAGGCATCTGAACGACAAATCTACCCGTACAATCCCGTTTGTACGTTTTTTGAAAATGGTTTTCACACAATTGTTCTTCTGAACTTAAGGGTCGATTAACGGAAATTTCTTCTATTTCCGAAAACGTTTTTAAGCGTTATCAGTGGTTTCCGAATTAGTTGTTAAATAACAACATTGTTTACGGGTATCTGAAACAATTGATGCGCTGGCAATCAAGCCAAATATGAAATTTATAAATATTAAATTTTCAGGTACACATTTTCTACCATCCTTTATTAATTTATAGAAAAGTTCAGACCCTAAAATCATATCTATATCTTCAGGGATTTCAAAATTTGGATCGGCTAATGTAGAACGATTTTGCATACTTAATTTTTTATGTTCAGGATGAGGACCCGATGAAGGAACTAAGTCTGTAATTTTAGGTACGACGAGAAAGTCTATTACTGAAATGGAAGAAGACATCATTTAATTTGCATTTGATTTTCATCGCATTTCCGCTTAAACCATTAACAGAAATATTTACCTTATGTTTCTTAAGACCAAGCGAAGAAGCGAATTGCAAGGTCATAAAATGCGATTGAGATGCATTGGAATTTTTTGGAAGCACGCAAGATGAAAAATTAGCAACGCTTTCGCCAGGAATCGAACCGCGGACATCTGGAATACCGACCCAGTGTTCAGACCACCACACCACGAATGCACGCCAAGAAGGTGGGAGAAATACCTTATATAATCATTCCGAATTGGTGACCAAACCTTAACAACTGTAGAAACTGTAGAATGCAAAACTTTTGTTTGACATTTTACTTAAAGAGGCAAAAGTCTTTACCACTTCAGTTACACTTGGATTTTTTATTACATTGGCTGAACTAGAGTTCTTCATGCTTTGCTTATTACGAACATCTGCAGTTTCTGGAGTGAGAAGATTTTCCGACTGCGAACTTGGGGAAATATCTTAGTCTGGCGAAGTTTTTTCACACAAGGAGTTTTTAGTTTCAGACCGACATAACAGATAATTGTGCTTTCCTTGGCATAAACGACAAGAATATTTGGATTTGCATGATGCAAGCTTATGCTTGTCACTTAAACAGTTTATACAAAGTGCATGTTTTTTAACATTATTAAATCTTTGCAATGAAGTCATTTTTAAAAAAACAACTATGTACAAAATGCAACATTTAACACAGTATGCAGGAATTGCTGTTAGACTTTAACATGAAATTTCTGGTTTTTATTTGTATAAGAAGATTTAGTTTTTAGTGGTGGTAATTGAACTCCATGTAAATTTTCTAACATTTGTGATCATTTTTCTAAATATTCCATGAACTTTCCAAATTTGGGTAATTCAGTCGATGTTAAACTCATTTCATATTGTTTCTTGTTTCTTTATCTAACTTTTGAATGACAATATTTATTACGAATTGATGCATTAGTTCATTAGCTTCTAATTTCATTAAGTTTAAACATCTTAGGTTTTTGTTCAAAATATCAACTAGATTTCTAAGACTCTTATAAGATTCAACATGTATTTTCTCAAAATTTAAAATATTCATGATATGAGAATTAACAATCAATCGTTTATTTTCATATCTATCACTTAAAACCTGAAATAAAGACTGAAAACTGTCTTCTGGAGTTTCTACAGCTTTCACTTCTCCTTTTAATGCAAAGCGCAAATAGAATAATCTTTGAATGTCGTTTAAAGGAGAGTTATTTGTAGTCAAACTATCAAATTGTTTTTCAAAATTACTCCGGTTCTCAGTACAACCGTCAAATTCTGGTAAGCTTAAATCTTACCATCAAATTCTGGTAACTTAATAGAGTTAGAATCCTTAATAAAGTACAAAGTCTTTAATCCGGACTTGTCAGACTTTGGTGATTCTGGATTAGGGGTTTTTCCAGATTATAGATCATCAATTTAAATCTGGTAAGATGGCATGCAGAAATTATAAATTAAAAATATGAAACCGTAATTTATGAAATAAAGAGCAATTATGATCTAAAGCGATCAAAATTTACCAAAAAAAAAAGCTTAATATTTATTTGTTTACTTTATTAAACATTTCTTTCAATGTAAGTTGTTTAAGTTCCTCCTTCGTTTTATGTGCTAACTTTTTTTTCTTTAATTCTATAAACACATAATTTTTTCTTGTTCAGTTACAAAGTTCTGCTGTTCAAGTCCTGTAATTGCTGTTGCCGAGAACTGACTAACTTGTCAATCGAAATTTTTTTTCGTTTTCACACTAACCTCTCTGTCACTTTCTTCATGCCTTTATCCATTTTTTGCAGAAATTCCACTTCTTGTTTGATGGACATCGAAACATGCTTTCGCTTTTTAGATCTTTGGCAGCTCCAGAATCGGAAACTCTTTTTGACGTAATCGAAAGTTCAAGCTTACTTTTTATAAAATTGCTCTAACAGTCTGCAAAAAATAATAAGCCGGATCCAATTAGAAGATTAAGGAACAATGCAGTCTGCAACGTTAACTGAAATAGATAATTAGATAATTTTAGCCTAGCTTATACTGTCTGTTATACATTAAACGCGCATGCATAAACTTATTATGCATAAAGTTATTGTGCGCGTGCGTAAACGCTACGCATGCGCAGAAAGTTTGTAGCTTTGAGGTCCAAATTATAGATCATTCCGGTTTATGGATGTCCTGATTAAGACTTTGTACTGTATTATTCGTTAAAGATTTATCAACTAAATCTGACTTTCATAATAACGTTTGTAAGCTTACCTTTATTTCTTCAAAACGGTCTTCCATCTCTTCAAATTCTAAACCCACACTAGATAAATTTTCATCGTCAATGATATTGTAATATTCCAATCGCAATGATTCAATCTGAGATAATATTCATGATGCTAGTTTTAAAGTTTCTATGATGTCGGTTAAGCACTTTTAGTTTTTCATCTGATGACAATACTGTAGAATTATCTCTACTGTTCAGTTCATCGTCTGAGTTAGCCGTTTTCCCTATTCATACACAATCAAACTAAAGTTTTTATTGCTTTTAACGTTCGAAATAACAATTTATTTAGCCGATTCTGCTCTGGCTATTAACGGATCGTAAAAATGTGGAGTTAATTTCAAGTGGACTGTAATATAAATTTAAAATACAAACACCATTTAACAATTTTTATATTTTTATTTTTCCTTTCAAATTTTGCTTCCAATGAAGCAGTGAAATGAACGAATGCCTAAAGTTTTTATAAACTACATTATCTAAGCAACATAGCTTTGCCATATTAAGCAATACAAACATAGCCAATTTAATGGCGCAAATGATTAGCTATTTTACTGAGTGGCGTTAACAACTGTCTTACTGAATAAGCTCAACGTTTTTACCATAATTTACAATATTGAAATTGTCGTTTATTATGCTAATTTACTTAATGTATTCAAATATGCTTGGAACGGAAGTGATTTTGATAAATGACGGGTACTGTAAATAATGTAATAATCAGTCTTTGTTTCATTATATTTTTGAATAAAATAATACAGCAATAAAATATATTGCTGGAGTACTGTAAGGGGGTAAATGAGAAATAGTTTTGAAAGGAAGCTTAGGAAGTATTCCACATTAGTAAATTCTATTATTGGGTATGCAAAAGAGAAAAGGTTGGGAACAGCTGCCTTACAGGAAAAAAAAAATGCTTGAAATCAATCGTACTGATCAGGGTTGCCAGAGTTTACTTGAAGCGCTTTTCAGATATGTGATCGGAAGTTTCGTAACTCTCGCAGCTATGAAAATTTTGTTTCCATAAAGGGAGAATGGGCTAGCGAAAGAAAGTATTCAACATAACTGAGTACAAGATCAAACTGATCGTCTGTCATACCATTGGCAAAAGCATATAAAATTAAAAAGAAAAAGAAAAAGAAAAGGGAATTAGTCCCTTTTTTAGGCCGACATTAAAATCTCAACCATTTTATTTTTTCTTAATTTTTATTTATTTATTTTTGGACTGAATAATTATACCAGCACCAAACTGAATGAATCTTAAAAGAACTCGCACATTTCTTCATTCCTCCATTCCTAGGGGGCCCATCTGGAGCCGAGTGGTAAAGTTGCTGAACACTGGTAGTTCAGTCCAGAGGTTGAATCCCAGCGAACGTGCTGCCTACATGGGTACTTTTGTGATTTTCCCAATGTGTAATGTGTATTTGAGCAAGTTTCCCTTAGAAAGCCCTCTACAAAGGCATCCCTCCTTTTAGGCAAATAAACCTTCATTGCTTTGCCATAATCAAATAAACCAAACCAGTCTATTCCTGACATTGGAAAAATTAGGAGACCACAGAAGTTAAACTGACCACATAGAGTTGCTCTGATTTCTATGTTTGCATGTAACTAATTGATATTTATGTTTATTACCTCTATTAAATTATACATTAAAATTATTCCAAAATTAGTTCTTTATGTTCCATAAGTTTCTATGCATTATATCTCATTTAGATGTGGAGTATATTTAAATTTCATGTGAAAAATATTGTTGTATGTTTTGCTTGTAGCTCTTTTGTTAAATACATTATATTGTAATGAGTCATGAAAGCAATGAAAGATGTATTCCAATTAATGATATGTCAGTTAGAAATGTTATTTTTATATTGTACGGTTTGAATTCACTTTACTTTGTTAGACACAGACATCTATCTAGGAATGATTAATTTTTGTATTTTCTCTATTATAATATTTTTAATTTTTGGTCAAGTTGTTTGAGTTAAATTATCCCAGATATGTGCCATAAAATTGTTTTTTCCCTCCTCTGTTGCTTTTTATATGTAATCTTTGTGTCTTGAACTTCAGCATCTAATTTTTTTAAGTGGTGTTCTTCAGAATTTATACTTGTTTTATTTTTATTATATATATTATACTTAAAAACGTAATATGTAGTATAAAGTTTAATATTCTTCAATTTATTTTTTCAGGTTTTTGATTGTGCTTTTAAGTACGGAACAGTGAAATACGTGCATCATGGTTCTCCATTACTTTCTAATGACACTGTAAAACTGAGAGTGTATAAATTCTTTGAAGATGATACTGTATCAGAATATTTAGATCTTTTTTTTATAATAGAAAATAGTTCTTATGATGTAATTCAACCCAAACTTCCATTAATAGTGAAAGAATTTTACGGCTTAACTAATGCAATAAATGAATCGGTATTGACTTTCAATTATAATCATAAAGCTGGGGCTGTATGTGAAGTTAAAATTTCTGATGACAACCATTTCAGACCAGCATACGGCAGAATAATTGGTGTAGGTGAAATAAATATTCCTTTCAAAAGAAGATGCCGAGATTTTTTGCAACTTGGCCTTCGTTATGAACACTTGAAGCCACCATCACCAAATATTGATTATATTTTAATATCAGTTGAAGTTAATAGTGATCCTGATTTGAATGATGGAGGTTTAGTAACTGAAAGATTTCATATTCCTGTAATAATTGAACCTGGATTTCCAAATCTTCCACCTAAAGCATCGTTTTCTGGCATGTACTTAATGGATGTAGATCAGTTCATTATAACAGCAATAACACCTGCTGTACTATCTGCAACTGATAGTGAAACACCATCAGATCAACTTGTTTTTAATATTTCTAAACCTTTGCTTCCCCATCAGGGTAGTATAGTTCATTTGTCTGACCATACTAGGCCAATCACTAGTTTTAGACAGATAGATTTGAATAACTTTGATGTGGCCTATAAACCACCTGCTAGATCTTTTAAAGAGAGACAAATGTTTGAAATTGGATTTGTGATTTATGACTTGGATTTTGCTTCCAGTGAGCCTTTTTCCATGCATATTGCTATTCGTCCTGCTATAACTACTGCACCTAGAGTTTTTATGAATGTAGGTATGGTATTATTAGAAGGTCAGTCAAGGCCATTAAGGATAAATAATCTTGAGATTGTTGATAGTGATAACATCAATGATGTGCAAATTTTTGTTACTGGTGGTTTACACCATGGAAAGTTAGAAGTTGATAAAAAACCTGCTGTTTCGTTCAAGCAACGTGATATTATTGCTGGTTCTGTAATCTATCACCATGATGATAGTGATTCAGTTCGAGATAGTATTCATTTTCGTATATATGATGGATCATATTCTACTCACACTAAATTTCCTATCACCATCATTCCAAAAGATGATAACCCACCCTCGCTGCTAATTAATGTGGGATTAAAAGTCAATGAGGGTAGTGATGTGCAGATAAAACCTACTGTGCTTCGTGCTGTTGATTATGATACATCTGAGGAATATGTTAGTTTCGTTGTAATAAAGCAACCATATTCAGGAAGAATTTTGAAAAAAGGAATTGATGTACACACATTTACCCAAAAAGATATTAATGATGGACTAGTATACTATCAACATGATGGAAGTGAGGTGTGTATATTTTATTGATTTTTGAATACATTCTTACAAAATTTTAAATGCCCTATTTTTTATTTATTACTATAAAATTTTTCACAATGAATAATATTTATTACATGTAAATTGCAAAATTCTTTTGATGCAATATTAAGAATTCACTATTACTATGCTTATACTAGTTAGGTATTTTTTATAAATAAATTTTAATATTTTAGGTTTTCACAGATGTTTTTGAAGTAATGCTTCGAGATATAAGCAATCCTCCAAATGAATCTCCTCCATATGAAGTTTCTATAAGTATTTTACCTGTTGGAGATGATCCCCCCAAACGAGATCCTGCCAGTTCTTTTAGCCTAGAAGTCCGAGAAACTGATATTGGATTGCTGAGCAGTCTTCACTTGCATTACATGGATGTTGACTCACATGACAGTGAAATTATATATACTATTACGATTCCACCCAGATTCATTGGCTCATTTGCACATGCAGGTATTCTGGAAATATAGTAATTCAGTCTACCAAAACAATAGTAAAATTAGTTAGTATTCTACTAAGGAATAATTATTATTACTCTGCATATATAATGATTTAATATCGCCAGTAATTGTTTAACATTTACATTACTTTGTAACATTTTTGTTATTTTCATTGTTTTGACACTGCCTCCCTTTTTTTCCTTGCTGCACAATTTGTGCTTGACGATTTTCATCTAGTGTGGTCGCTATAAAACAAAAGCGGTGAATTTTTTAATTTTTTTGCTACACCCTTCTTCAAAGTAACAAATAATTTATAAAACATGTATATTATTTATAATCAATCATATGGGTTGATTTCAAAAGAGCTTTTAAAAATAAATTGCTATTATGTAAAAAGATAAATATATATTTATTTCAAATTATGCTTTGTAGCTTGAATTCAATCATAATGGCCCTGTAATGTGTATTTATTCTTGAGGAACTAAATGAAGCTTATTCATAACAACAAATACTTTCTTAATTTCTGACGATTAAAAATACTTATGTATATCATCAATTAATTAGATCAATCATTGATTCTTCCAGTAGAAACTGATACTTCTATACTTCGCGACAAGCTAACCTGTGAACACATACAAGGCTAGAACGACCTTTTCGCAGCTTTTCACCCTGTTCTTCAAGTTATCCATACGCAGTAAACTGCCAGCGGATATTCAATTCCTCCAATTTGCTACACATTTGGCGACTTCTTGCCAAATCCAGCGTATTTAAATAACAATATTTTTATGCAGTGAAGCTGCAGTTGAAATTGATAGTTCATCATAGTGTAAAATGTAGGGCATGTTATCCATTGTCTTAATTTATGTGAAATATTTCACTATTCTCTAAATGTGACAAATACTAATTTGATGATATTTAACTTGAAACCGGAAGAGCTAACAATGTATTCCTTGCAGTTTTTGTCAAATTTTTTTCCCAAGACCTGTTCGCTTAGTTAAAAGTAAAATACATAAATTTGGAAAATCTGGTTATTTTCTTTTAATTTTAAGTGTTTATGCGGCTTGTTGCTACCAAAACAGTGAACGAGAGGAAATTTTTTATTTTTATTTTTTAAAGACATTAATTTGATTTTAATTTGTGATTGTTTAAAAAACTCTGACAATATTTTATAGCAGACATTATGAAAATTATATCCTGTATTAATTGTTAGAAAAATATTAAAGCTTTAAAATTGTGAAACAAACATAAAAATTAAGAATCAAATGATCTTATACCAATTAATTAATCATATACCAATTAATTCCACTAATAAATTAAAATTATAACATTAGAAATATCTTATATTAATTACAACAAAGCACAAATATTCATAAGAACTAAAAAAGTATAAAAAAAAATAAATTCTTAAGAAGTGCATTTATTGCTTTTAAGACATTTGCCGTTATTAAACAACGGTTTGCTTGTATTTTAAAATTAAAATATATATCCTTTGACAAATGAAACATCTATGCGTGACGGAGCGTGAAAGGTGGGCCTTTTGCTTTGCGCAAAGGAATATATCGCTTTTACATCTCTCAAGTTATAAAAAGCAGCCTGATTCAGCTCACTGAGAATCTGTGAATTATATGTGAATGACTGAATAAGTTAGGCAAAAAACCATACATTTCCTTTGAGGTATAAAAACAACAAGCATATCATATAAAAAAAATCTGGTTATTCCTTTCCTTAGATGGAATCATCTGCAAGTCAGGTGCATTAATGATAGAGTTGCTTAAGCCGTGAAACACTGGTAGTATGCAGCGAGTTGGATGTAATGGCTTTTGTAAGCTCTGAACTACATAGAAGTCCCTCAGTGTGTTGTATAAAAAAGGTCCTTTACCCTTATAAATTCACCATGAAGCCATCTCCCCCTCTAGAGAAACCCTTGTTCCTTCTACCATATTTAATTTAATTGATCAGTACTTCCGTATTGGTTAGGTTAGGTGGTTTGAATATAGCAAAACACACAAGAGATATCCGACTAAGGGGTGAAATGCATTTCGTGGAGGGCTTGGCTTTCTAAAGGTTAGGTTAGGTTAGGTTATTTAATTATGGCAAAGCCTCGAGGGCTATCTGCCTAAGGGGAGGGATGCCTTCGTGGAGGACTTTCTAAGGGAAACTGGCTCATATACACATTACACATGGGGAAAACCACGAAAACACCCATGCAGCCAGCTCGTTCGTGGCTTTCTAAAGGAAACAAGCTTGTATTCACATTACACATGGGAAAACCGACCATGAATACAGCCCGTTCACTTGCGCTCAAACGATTCAGCGATTTAAGCACTCGGCTACTGGTGAGACACTCCTATATTATATTTCCTAAGGGATTTGTTAGCTTGTATAACAGTTATAATGTTATTTATAACTGTTTATAGGTCTGCCTTTTTTTTTTTGCCTTGAAAACGGCTGTTGCATTTTTAATTCGTGGCATTGGAAAGGGCTTTTTTTTTAAATGAGGTATTCAGTCTCGCAACAATTATAACAAATAACAATATTGTTATCGTATTTATTAGAAAAATGCCCTCTCGTAATTGACAAAAACTTTCATTACGATAAGCTTAGTGGTACTGTTTATTCAGGTTTATAAGATTTTCCAACTTAATGAGGTTAAAAATTATACACATATGTTGAAGATGAAGCAGATACCATAACAATTGCTTTTTTCTCCTCCCGGTCAGTAAATGAATGAATGCCCTAATTGCTTTTCTCGTCAAGAGTGGGGTGAGGTCGGGGTTGCTGGAATTTGCAGTTTCGCCAATAATGCCAAATTCTACGGCGGACACATACACTTTCTACTATATCCAGTGTTCTCAGCTTAGGTTGACCTGAAATATAGTGAGATTCCCAAGCAAGAATCTGAATTCTAAATTTTAAACTCTCAATTTCATAAACGTGAGAAATGACAATAGCAATAGTAGAATCTTTATCCACTGAATCTATGAGGCTGTAGCCTCTTTGTAGTAACTTTTTCCAGTCTGCTGAAGTTCACATGGCCATAGATAACTATGTAGTCATAGAAAATAAAACTAATGTGGCTGTCACAAGAGGTGATGCTCACTTGTATGATTTCTGTCTTCTGCTCCTGCTTGTTTGTGTCACCATCTATTAGCACTGATGAGAAGTGTGGCACATGAATTCCTGGTGTCCTTGGGAAGGAAACGTAGTTGGCCGCGATATGTTAGGTCAGTTTGAAGTGAATGAAATACTGTACAGTTGTCCGTAAGAGTTCTCATGTAACAGTTTCCAGTATTCCAACTTATTCAAGTTGCCAGTGTTTTAAGTGGCTGTCAGGATCGCTATGCTAATGAACAGATTAGTATGTAACATAGACTTGTTAGTTGAGTGCTTGATTATGGCAAAGGATATGAAGGTCATTTATTCATTTTAAGAGGTATGATTTTATGAAAAATGTTCTAGGCAGAATTGTTTTATGTTCTTGGTGCAGAAGGGGGAATTCATGAAAATCTCACCTGGCCAATTTTCTTTTGGAGCAGCTGAAATTCTGGTTCTGGTGAGCCATGAGTCTATTATGCAAATAATTTTCTATCAGCCTGTTATGGATATATAATTTCTGCTTACCATTTTTTTGGGGGGGGGACTGAGATTTTTCTTATTTGAGGATTTTATTCGGCTTCTAAGGAAGAATATATAATATAAATAAATTTTTTAAATGCTTCTGTATTGCTTAAAAAGTTTTCTAATAATCTGTAATCCTTAAATGAATTTGTTTTGATGTGCTTTAATCTATGTGATTGCCTCTTATGGCAGCTAAAATCTGATAGGGAGAAGAAAATATTAAATTATTATTGTTAAGATGTTTGATATTTATTATATAATATGGTTATCTCTCACTTCTTTCAAAACGTTTTGAAAGAAGAAATCTTACATAGCAAATCTGTATATACACTCTCCCTGTGATATTTTAGGAGTGAATTCTTGAGATGTCAAAATCTGAAAACATGGTATTGCTGCTTAGCCTTCTGTAAATATTCTTTCTGTTATACATCTCTTGGCATTTTTAAGAGCTTTTAGATTGTTTCATGGAAGTCAGTTCTTGTGAAAAAGAGTTTTTCTGATCTTTATAATGAACTATATTAATAACAGGATAAAAGTTCCTGAAGTGCTCTCAAAATGGTGCCATTCAAAGTGAAGTTTTAGTTTAAGGAACTATAAGTGGCCAGTCTTAGATATGAAATGTTTGCCTTTGTTCATCAGCAGTTTACCACTCACTGGATTACCCGAAAGCATTTTGTATTTTCAATCCTCTTTTTATAAATCTAGAACACAGTTATAAAAAAGTGAGTCTTCACATGCATAATTAACATAGCTTTCTTGAGACAAGATGATGTGAGTGGGTCCATCTCTAAAGTCTAGTTTGGCTCAATCTGTAAAGTATGGCTTGTCTCATTCTTGGCATTAATGGAGTTTTTCACTACCTGTAATGTAAATGTGAGCTCGTTGTCCTTAACAAGACTTCTATGAAGAATTCCTCTTTTAGATAAATAGTCTTTGAGTATTTTCTGTATGGGGGGGGAGTAATCCAGCATGTTGTGAATCAGGAGCAATGATTTTAAGTGTTCATAAGATTCCTGATGAGTCGTGTCACACATTAAAACATAGAAAAAACAACTATTTAGTGCATTTTTTTTTTTTTTTGATTTGCCATGTTATGAAAGGCTGACCATAGAATATTGGAAGTTTGGTCCAGGTTTCAATCTCTGGCACATGAGCTAGCTGTATGGTTGGCTGTTACCCCATGGCTTACATGAATACAAGTTTCTCTAAGAATGTCCTCTACAACGGCATCCCTCGCCTTAGGCAGATAGCCCTTGCATGCTCTGCCGCATTAACACATAATGTAAAGTAGCAGTCACCGTGAATTATTTTTGGGTTAGCATATAAAGAAATTTGCTCTCCATTACAAACACAGGGATATTAACAAAGCACCCCTGTTCAAGTTCTTAAGTTCAATGCTGATGGCTGATTAGGTGAAAATGTGCAATCTTTGACTTTTTGGGGGGAGGGGGGGGAGTTACATCTTTCTTTCAGTAATAAAGCTCATAGAAAAACAGCAAACAGTTGTGTGAAACTGACAATGTGTGATAGTGCTTTAAGACTCATAAAGTTCTCTCTTGTTTAAAGTGTTGTGAGCAGTTTGAATGCATTTCCAATCATGATCAGATCAGATTTTGTTGCCATTTGATTACATTGTTGCTTTACTTTCAGCATATGTATCTTGCTTATCTATAAAGTCTCACTGAGTCCTGTAATGCTTCATTTTGTATGAAATTAAATGAAAGAAATGTTTTTTAAACATGAGTTGAAAATGAATCATTCAAAGAAATGTTGTAAGAAAACAAATAATGAGCATTTTTTGTAAATTTTGATTCCTATAAAATCATAAATTATTTCACAAAAACTATTTCATATTTTTAATTTTGCAATTACTGCATATCTTCTTACTAGATTTGAAGCAATCTAAAATCCACAAATTACCAAAATCCTAAATCGACAAAGATCCAACAAGTCTGGATCTCAGACTTTGTATTAAATTTGGTTATTTCAGTGAATCCCATGTTAGTTTAATCTGAAATTGAATATTCCCCCCCCTGAAACTGTGAAACTCCTGTTTTCCCCTTCAGTAGAAAACTTCTGATCTGAAGTCATTTCCGGATTAAGAAAATTTATGTAGAGTAAACCAAGCTGGCTACATTTTATTATATTGTATGCATCATACTGACAAATTTTTTGTTCATTTTTTACCTTTGAAACAATTGGTGCTACTGATTTTTTAGCACTCAAAAAAGATTAAATGATCCTTCCTAAAACTAATAGAGTCCATATTGAGGTAGATTGATAACAAAGAACATCAGTCTACCCTTAGAATCACTGTTTATTATAATCTATTTGTGAAAAATTTTTTGCAAACTTGGTTTTTCTTTTTAATTTTTTAATGAGGTAAGGAATTGAGACATTTTTTTTTTTTTGTTGGGATTTATTAAGTATTCTTGAATGTTAGAATTTTTATATTATTTGTGATGTGTGTAAAGTCTTTTTTGGATCCTATTTTGACTTTTGATTTTATTATCCTATTTGACAAATCTGTGTTTTGATTGAGTTAAATTTCTGCATGAAAACTTGATGTAAAACACAGTTATAAAAAGATTGATTAGATGTAAGATTTTATTATGTTTCAGTAATGGTAATCCATTATCAAAGTATGTAACTTTGGATGGGTACAAGGTAATGTAATGTTATTAAAGAAAGTCACTGTCTTTTTCATATTAAGAAAGTTGATTGAGTTTGGTTAATTACTTATGGCATAGCTTTGTAAATTTATTGATTATAATAAAATATGTGAAGAAGAGGGGGATGCAATTGTGGAGGCCTTTCTAAGGGAAAGAGGTTTTTATTCAGCTTACACATAAGAAAGCCACTGCATATGAAAAATTTCTACAGCCAGCCCATTCAGTGGGAACTTAATGTAGGACAAATTACCAGTGTTTACTTATCATAATCATTCGGTTACAGGAGATCCATATTATAGAAAGGAGGAAATTTACAATTTTGATAGCTTTTATGTATTAGTTCTGATCATCATTAAAATATTAAATGTTTAATTTGGCTTGCTTGATTAACTAATGAAAAGAAACCTAGACATCACTGCATTACAGCCAACTTTAAACTTTTTTAAGCGCCCTTCTTTGCTAATGAATATGATTATAATGTATTTCATCAAATATTTGTTATGTTAAAAATCTGTAAAAAAAATTAGGAAATGCAGTATATATAATGCTGTGGATGTGTCCAAATTGTTTGCTTTTTAAGTTTTAATGACAAAGTTCAACTGTCATTAAGGGATCGACAGTAAATGTCATTAAGGGACTGACATTTATTGAGGGATTTATTTTTTGTTCTTTGGGAGTGAGTTTGCATCATCACAACATTATTAATTCTGTTAAAAAAGGGAAGTATTTCAGTTTACAGTCAGTTAGAGACTGCAAAAAAATCTCTTATGTTATTAGTAATTTCAATCAATTATTTCATCAGAACTGGTATGAATATTCTGCAGTCAGTAGAAAGTGTTGGTTAATGATAAAATAATCTCTTACAGTCTGAAAATATGATAAAGTAAGCGGGTGATGCAGTACAATGTAGCACTGGATGGCTAAGAGTATTTTCTGTTCTTCTATTACTTTTGCATTGGATGAAAAATCATTAAAGCCCAATGCAGTAAGTATATTCAGGTGCTAGGATCCAAAATCAAGATGAAGTACAAGTGTTCCATCATATATTTTCATTCTGTTGCTAGGCATACAGTGTGTTTAAAGTAATATTTTTGGTTTTATGATTCAAGATATAGCAGCTGCATTATATAGACATATTACCTTTTGATGTGTGAATAAAAGATAACTGTCATGGGTATTTTACAAGATATCTTTGATAGTTTGCAATTTCTCCAAGTATTTGCTTATAATATTTAAAATTGAGTAAATTATAAATATTCTGCATTCAGCATTTTTTATTTTGCGTTTGCTGTGGTTGTTTTCATAAATAATGGAGTGTATTCATGTTTACTTTGTTAGTAAGTGTATTTATTTCTATATGTATCTATTTGTAGATCCTGGAAAAATTGTTGATTTTACCAATGAAACAATGATGTTTCAAGATTCTAATCTGACTGCAATTAAGAACTTTACCCAAGAACAAATAAATCATCATAAAATAGCATATGTTCCTCCCTCAGATGAAATAGGTCCAAATCCCTTATACCTTCAGTTTATTTTTTCTGTTATGGACAAAGATAATAATATAGTCTCTGGACAGATATTCAATATAACAATATTTCCGGTAAACAATCAGGTATATGCATTTTGTATTTATTTTTCATTAGAAGCTTACTAAATATATGTTTATTGTCTCATTTTTACAGTTGTAAAACAAGATGATTGTCATCTGCTTCTTTTAAAGATTAAAGAGTAGTATAAGTAAAATACAGAATGAGACTGAATTTTAATTTGGAGATATCAAACCAATAAAAATTTATTGCAAGAATACATTGTAAATATTAATAAAAAAGAAAATGTCAGTGTAATACTAATAGTATTGACCTGTGTTTAAATTAGGAAAGGGGTGGAAACAAAAAATGTGTTGTTTATTAAAAAGTGAAAATAAATAAAATGACTTTAATTATGTATTTTTAACAGTGCTTTACTTATTTACATTAAGTTGTTGGTTAAAATGGTTGTTAAACAAAAAGTTGTTTGTAAAGTAAATATAATTTTTTAAAGTACTTGTATTTGCATAAAGTACTTGTAAATGTTTGCTTTATGATGCTTGAAATGAAAAAGAAAGTTAACAGCAAGTTTTTTGTTTTGTTTTTGTTTAGTGCAGCTGTGCACTAAATTTGTTTAACTATGGCACTTGCTAAAGACCATTAAGATTTCTGAAGTGTTCACGTTTATGATTTTCAATACTGCATTAAAATTACTTAAACAGATAAAGTTGTAGAGACATTAGGTATTTGGGGAAGCAGGCAAGCTGAAAAATGAGCAACGCCTTCGCCGGGAATCGAACCATGGTCCTCTGGAATATACATCCAGCGTGCAGACCACCACACCAGGAAGGCGGGACAAATACCTTATAAAGTCACCTAAAAACTACAAAATGTAAGTTGCCAGCTGCTGATGTTGACATATATATGTAGCTGAGTGAATCTTTGTTTTTAGGTGTTTTCCAGCTAAAAAAATCTTTTTGCATAGAAATTTATTAGTGAAGTAAAAAAAGTGCTTTAATAAATTGCAGTTAAGATAAAATTAGTTTTGTAGGCTGAGAAAATCTAATTTGGCGTCATAAGCATCACACAGTACTACTTTGCCATCTTATACCATGCAGTGTATGACTAAAATCTTTGTTTTATACAATTTTGTAATTATTTATTTGAATTTATTATTGTAATATAAAAATAAATTTATAAACCAATAACAAACAAACCTCACTCTTTAAATTTGATATTTTAGTACAGAGTTAAAATTCTTATAAAATCTGATTTCATAAGGTTGCTGTATATTAGTGTATGAAGGGAAAATAATCTATAATTGATTTCAAGAAAGCCAAAAAAATTCCATGTTAGTCAGCCCATTCATTATGAATGGAATTCAGGTCAAATTACTAGTGTTTAACAATCTTGTCCTCCCAGCTATTGGTGATTCATACTAATCAAAAGTAACTTTGTGTGCTTAAATTTCTTGAAGAGGAATGAACTTAATTTTTTTAAATGAATGTACTATAAATTAAAATATAAAGCATATATGAAATTAACTAATTTACCTGCTTTGGGACACTTTGTGCTCTTAATTGAAAGTTTTGAACAACAAAAACATGTTCAATGACCGAATGACAATGTTTGTGTCCTTTCCATAAACTGAATAGCAAGATGTATGAAAAATTTTTATTACTGTTCCATACTTGTTTTTAAAAATGTTATCAAAAAGATATGGTATTGAAATCTCTGATGAGATATGGGGTTGAGAAAGTACTGCAGCAAGAGATAACTAAAAACATCAAAACCATTATTAACTAATCTAATTATTTAACATTTCCTAACTTATCGATTTTGTTTTAATTATTTTAACTTTATTTTTTGTTTTAATTTTCTTTTTTTTTTTTTTTTTTTTTTTTTTTTTTTTTTTTTTTATGTTGGAATCTGAGAATTGTTTCCAAGTATAACTTTATTGTTTGATCTCCCTTATAGCCTCTTCTATTATGCAAATAAAAGGGAGAATAAAAAACTTCTCAAATGTGCTGTTTTTTAAATAACAGGTTGACATTGAGGTTTCTAGAAGCGGTGCTGTTTACAACATACAGTACAAAGTCTTTAATCCGGATGTCCATAATCCGGAATGATCTATAATCCGGACCTCAAAGCTACAAGCTTTCTGCGCATGCATACCGTTTACACTTGTGCATATGCGTTGACGCGCACGCATAATATCTTTACGCATGCGCATAATACGTTTCCGCATGCACGTTTAATGTATAACGGATGGTATAAGCTAGGCTAAAATTATGTAATTATCTATTTCAGTTAATGTTGCAGATTGCGTTGTTCCTTAATCGTCTAAGTGGATCCGGCTTATTATTTTTTGCAGACTGTTAGAGCAAAAGTAAGCTTGAACTTTCGATTATGTCAAAAGAGTTTCCGATTCTGGAGCTGCCAAAGGATCTACAAAGCGAAAGCATGTTTCGATGTCCATCAAACAAAAAGTGGAATTGCTGCAAAAAATGGATAAAGGCATGAAGAAAGTGACAGAGAGGTTAGTGAAAACGAAAAAATTTCGATTGACAAGTTAGTCGGTATTCTCAGAACAGCAATTACAACACTTGAACAGCGGAACTTTGTAACTGAACAAGAAATTATGTCTGTTTATAGAATTAAAGAGAAAGAATTAGCACATAAAACGAAGCAAATTAAACAACTTACATTGAAGGAAATGTTTAATAAAGTAAACAAATAAATATTAAGCTTTTTTTTTTTTTTTTTTTTTTTTTTGTAAATTTTGATACCCTTTAGATCATAATTGATCTTTATTTCATAAATTATGGTTTCATATTTTTAATTTTATAATTTCTGCATGCCATCTTACCAGATTTAAATTGATGATTTATAATCCGGAATCGCCGAAGTCCCAACGAGTCCGGATTAAAGATTTTGTACTGTATATATTTTTATGCTTTTGATCATTAAATGCTCATAGCACTAGAGTTATGCCATTATCATAAATTATAACATACACACACACATATATATGTTGGTCTATGTGTTACTTTTATATTACTGTTATGTATTTTTCGGACAAATAGAAAAAATTCTTGGCAAGTAGCCTTTAATTTAAAAGAATAAATGCTTACAAAACTTGACCTCTGTCACATTGTGAGAAATGGTCAATAATGAAATATAACTATTAAATTTTGTATTTATACACTGGTTATCATAAATTAAGGAAAAATCACAACTCCCTCAAAAATAAGCCAAACCGTGTAAAATTTGAATATGTTGCCAAGTAAGAGTAGCTGAGTAAAACTGCGATATGCAAATTAGTGACGCTGCTTTCGGTATACGTCATCTGCGAGGAGCATAAAAGTCCATGTTTGAGAGCAAGTCCACATATTTCACTGTGACAGTGACATCAGAAATCTGAGATAGCCAATTCGTAACAATGACCTCCAGGCATCATTTGCCTGCAGAACTGCGATGGAGAGCCATTGGGAGACTAAAGGCAGGACAAAGTCAAACAGAAGTGGCCATATGGCTAAATGTGAGTCCTTCTGTGGTTCTTAGACTTTGGAGGCAATTTCAAACCACAGATTCGGCATCTAGGAGGTTCAGCCAAGGACGGGCAACTGCTACGACAAGCGCCGATGACCAATATTTGACATTATGTGCACGCAGGAATAGAACCGCTACTCCAACTGTTCTTAGACCTCCCTTCCTGCAGCCACCGGAAGGTTAGTGTCAACGTCAACTGTGCATAGAAGGCTTCATGAAGGCGGTCTGTATGCGAGGAGACCAGCCATTTGTATGCCGCTCACATAACGCCATAGGAGGGACCATTTTCAGTGATCACGACAACATGTCCACTGGACGCCTTATCAATGGAGGGTGGTTCTCTTTACGGATGAGCCTAGAAAGCGTCTAGAAAGCAATAGTAGGTGTTATTTGATAAGAAGAAAACTTAGAACCTGTTATCATCTGTCAAACATCCATGAAAAAGATGCATACGGAAGGGGCAGTGTCTGTGTTTGGGGTGGCATCTCTTTGGGTGGACACACAGACCTCCATGTCTTTCCAAAGGGAACCGTGGATGCTCGGATTTATAGAGATGACATCCTTGATGTTTATGTGTGCCCATATGCCGGGGCAATAGTTGGTGCTTTCCTGTTACAGGACGACAATGCAAGACCATGCAGGGCTTGCATCGTAAATGATACCAATTCAGAAGGCAAACAACAAAAATCAGCGTTATATTTTCAAAATTTTCACATCAAAATTTTGTGAAAATTTTGAAAATATAACACTGATTTTTGTTGTTTGACTTCTGAATTGGTATTTGTTTGGCGTGTTATTGTGTCTTAATCATAGATGATTATCTTCAACAGGAAGCAATTATGCACATGGAGTGGCCAGCTCGATCCCCGGACTTGAATCCTATCGAGCACGTTTGGGATGCTTTAGGGAGATGTCTAGCTGCTCTCAATCCGCCCCCTCAGACCCTTGTCATGCTTGCAACTGCTTTGCAAGAGCAATGGCTCTCGCTTCCTATGGAACTGATAGACCGCTTAATTGAAAGCATCACACATTGCTGTATGTGCTATATTGCTTCTAGAGGTGATCATATTCCATATTGAAGGTACTTTTGCTATAGCAAACTGATACCTTCGATTTGTTCATTTTATACATGTGCTAATTTCTATACTACCATATTTGTGTGTTAATTTCTTTTTATGTTATTTGATACCTTACTATGTGTTGTATATTGTGGGTAAGTTTCATTAAATTCTACGTGTAACTTTTTCAGTAACCATGACTTTTGTGATTTTTCCTTAATTTATGATAACCAGTGTAGTTTTCCTTTCAAGAAACAAAAGTGTCATAAATCTTAAGGGATTTTGCATTCTATGCATCTCATATGTCACTTAGGAATTATTTTTTTCAGAAATTTAAACAATTTTTTCAAATTTAGTATCAGTGTGAGTACTTGAATTGTTGTTTTAATACTATTTTAACTATTAAATAAGTATAATAATTTTTTCATCTAGTTCCATGGATTGTATATTGATGTTTCTATTAAATCCTTCCATTTCTTGTGATAGAAATAAATGTACTATAAATTTTTAATTATTCTGTGTTATTGCTTCGTTTTTGGTGCAAATCCTATCCCCCTTTGCAAAGTTTTAGTGTAAATCCTGAATTGCATTTTTTAAATCATTGACATAATTCTTAATTTCACCAGTTCTTACTATTTATGCCTTGAATTTTGCCTTTCTTTCTTGTTATAAAGTTTCTGACATGATTATGTTCATTCAAGATATAAACAAGTTTTCTTCTCAAAAATAATTACTTAGTTGCTAAATTCTTGTCTTTAGTAAAATAAAAATTGATATTATGTATTTTTGTGTATACTATTTTCCTCCTCTGCCCTTTCTTCCTTGTCTCCTCCCAAATGAAAATTGTTTATCATGTTTTCTAAACTTTTCTTGAAAGTTACATATTGGTACATTTGTGCAAAAAGGATTTTGAAATAGGATTGTGCATGTTCATCTCTTGGCAAATCCCAAGTCATGAAAAGTCCTTTTCAGTTTAAAAAAAAAAAAAAATACAGGTGAAAGAGAAATGTAACTGCTTCAGAAAAATAACCAAAACAAACTGGAGGCATCCGATGCCAAGGAAATAACATGAAAACAAACAAAAAAAGCGCCAAATGATATGTCTTAACTGAAGGAAACTGCAAGATTTTCTGATTAATGGAGTATGTAAAGCGATGTTAAATGTAGATGATGTACATAAATTTTCATTACAATGACAATACCAAAATCACCAGTCAATTAATGGGGGGCAAAGGCTGTAGCATAGCTTTAAATCTTGAATGTATTACCACTGGTAGTGAATAAAATGATAAAAAGGTTGTTGAGAACTAAAAGATTTCATTTGACTGTTTCATTGGAATTCTTGAAACAGCATACAGAAACTGAACATTGGAGCTTCAAACATTGGAACTTCAAAAGAAATCGGGTATCGCAATAACGTTAAATGGAAAGAATTAACACACAGACACACACACACACACGCACAAAAAAAGTTAATAAATAAATAAACAGAATTGTTTAAACAATTTATGTAAAAAGAACTACTTAACAAAAGAAAATAAATGTTATCATTGAACTTGTTTTTTTATAAATTTCAATTCTCTTAAAATCATAAATTCTTCATTATTTCTCAAACAACCATTTCATATTTTTTTAGTACTTCTAATCTTGTTAGATTTTAAACTAATGATCTGAAATTTAGAAATTCCCGAAATCCAGAATTCCCAAAGTTCTTACTCTTCTGGAAATCTGACTTGCCTCTAGGATACAGGATTGAGGAAAAAGTGTTTTCTACGCATTCTTTTACAAATTGTTTGGCTTATGAAATTTAAAAAAAAATTTCTTAATGTATTCATAAATTAATTGTTCTACCGCTAAGTAGGTACCCAAAAATAGTAATCAGCATGTAAAAAAACATTCTTTATGAAAATATTTTTTGAATTTGAAGCACAGTTTTCATAAATGGTAATTATATTATGTAGTTGGTAGATTAAAGCATCAAGTGCTTTTAAAAATGTCATTTTATTCTTTCATAGATTCCTCAGCTTCATACTGGTGAATTACTTGTTGAGGAAGGGTCATCTACATTACTATCAACAAATGAGCTTTCTGTGTATGATCCAGACACTCTAACATCTGACTTGCAGATGAGTTTGTTCACAATTCCTCTTCATGGCTCATTGCGTAGAAGTGAGCAGCCACTTAGAGTTGGTGATTTGCTCTCACTTGATGACATCCTTACATTGAGATTAGAGTAAGTCTTTTTTCATCTTTCCCACTATCTATTTCATTCACTTAAAAATCAACACCAGCTTTACAGCTGTGTGGAAATTTTGTAAAAAAAAAAAAAAAAAGCTTCTTTTACTCTTTGCATTCAGCACTTTTCATGATAAATTTTTGTATGTTGCGGTGCATTTCATGAAATAAAGTGAATTTTTGGAGTACTTAAAAATGTTAAATAGTACATTGCTATGCTGTATTTTCCCAAATTGATTTCTAATGATTGAATGCAATTATTCTTTGGTTTATCTTTTGTATGTTTATTAATTGTTTTGATGTTATTTTATTTGGGTTAAAAGACACTTCTGAAGTTGTTTCATCATATTTAAAATATAAGTTTTTTTGATATTTTCTTACGGTATAACTGTAAAACTCTTTGAGTTATCATGCCTTACGAAAACTTCTCAAACATATGAACAAAACTTTATTCATATGAAGAAAGAAGTTGTTATTTTGGAAAGTGAGAAACAGCATTGAAAAACATCCAAAATGTTGCTTTTCTTAATTGTATTCAATTGATTTTTTTTAATTAAGAACCAGCCAAAAAAAGTTTTTCATACATTGCAATATTTTACCTTCATTTACTAATAGATTAATTACTGTTATTATCATTATCTATTTGATAGCCCTCATCCGCTTTGTTATTATTTTTCAGTTTCTAGAACTTCGCAGTTACATACCACTCTTCCTCCATTTGCATCCGAACATGATTCTAAAACTACGTTCTAGCTGGAAGTGGTAAATTGACATTGAGAAGCAATAGGAAAGGAAGTTTAACTCAAAATTAACTGTTAATAAAACTAGCATATTCCTTACAGTTTAAATTTTGAAAATGAATGTGTGTGTCTAAATTGTGATTCATATTATGGGGTTATGGCATTTAGTCCTTTATCATTTAAGAGATTATGAATGAAAATTTATTCAGATTTTTTGCGGGGCTATTGAAACCTCATATAAAGTACTAGGTAATTTGAAATTTGAGTTCTGTTTTAATTTAAAACTTACTTTAGATTTGGATATAAAATTTGTATACTTTTAAAATTATAATTTGAATAGGTTATAATTTGAGCAGAAATAAAATGCTTAAAAAATAAAAATTTTATAATTTAAAACTTGCGAGTGCATTTATTTAAGTATATTTTTGGATATTCTTATGTCTTGTTAATTAGCGCATACTTAATTTTTTCAGAAGGTCAGAGGAAGAAATTTAATAATTAATGCAATTACAATTATTTTGAATAATCAGTGTTATCATTAAACTGAAAATCGTTAGTTACATTTAATTCGAAATGTGTGAAGATGCAATTTGGGATAGGGTTGTGCTGTAATAAAAAAGGTATTGGGCTAAAATTTCATGCTACAGGAACTTTATTGTATTTGTATATTGCATAAATTAAGTAACTATGATAGTTTTAAACATTGCAGTTAAAGAAAGTAATTAAATTTATAATCACAAATATAGTAGATTTGAAGGGTGAACATTTTATCTTAATTTTTAGGAGGTAAATTTGAGAAACGTGAATATTTATTGCACAGAAAATGAGAATAATTTTGGATATTGTGATAATGAATTCGTAACATGCTATTGATAATGAGGTATAAAATTACAAATATTTAAGAGTTATGCTGTAATAAGGAACATGTGCTAAAAAAAAGGGCTTCTCTGAAGCAACTTCATAATCTGCAAGAACAAAACATTTTCAGATTAGTTTGGTTAAATGTTTAAAATTTCATTGGACTTAGTTTCATAAAATCTTATGGTTAAAATTTGTTTATGTTTCTATTGCTGTAACTCTTTTTTTTTTTTTTTTTCTGAAGTATTTTCCTTTAGAATGAGGGATATGCGAAGTAAAATTTTGCTTTCATTTGTAATATGCCCTAAACTCTCTCTCCCTCTTAAGTAAATCTAGTCATCTTTTCTCATTTTAGAAATATTCACATATTTTAATCTTCAGGAAGTACATCATTCCCAAATTAATGCCCATTTTATGACTTGTATAAACCAACTGTTAGAAATATAATTTATATTAACTAATAGTAATATAATTATTTTTTTGGCAAGAAATAAATTAATACACCATTTTAAATCCACCATTTCTTGTCCTGACTGCTTGATGTATAGATTTATTATAGAAGCATGTAGATTTATTAATATATTGAAATATATTGCTTTATTAATTATATAGATGTAAATTTTTAAGGTGATTTGTTGACTTTCTGCTTGCTGCTTGCTTTTCATCTGCTTCATTCTTTACCATCCTACCACAGGTGTTCTGTTTGTATTAAAGTTTTTCAATATCTGAAATAGCTGTGCTAAAAATAGATGTATTTCAAGGCCAAAACTATTTCTGCAATTTACTTAGCTGCTGCTATATTCCTTTTAATGACTTTCAAGATTCTGGACTGTTTAAATTTCAAAAAATGTTATGAACAGAATTTATATTCTTTTTTTAGAAGATATAGGGTTATACACAAAAGTATGGTAATTTCAAAGGTTAATAGCAATTGTGTATCTCCTCTTGCAGAGGCACAACCTACACCATCAGCAACTGCCCTAGTTTCTCATGCATTGCTCAAAATTTGCTTGTTTTGCTTATGGAGGGGTGGTAGGGCCAATTTCCGAGTTTATGTCGCACAAGATAATGCCTTCTTGTATGTTCCATTTTGAGATGTCTGGATCCGAATACAGTGCAGTGTGAATTTCATACAGGGCTTAAAAAATGATGCACTGTGACCCATTAAACATCAATATTGTCTTTCCAGTATTCTACCAAAAAAAAAAAAAAAAAAAAAAGGTTTATTTTCTTCTTTTCCTAAAGCAAATATGACAGTCAATTTGTATCTGGACATGGGTTGAGGATGAAAAGCCAAATTTAATTCATCTGTTGACATCTGCTTGATGCAGAGTGTTTAGTAACATACTGCAAGACAAAAGTCATTCCGGAAAACATTAAAATATTTCATTGAAGCATATTAAACACACACACTGATAGACACATCAGCAAATGTTCTTTCATGTGCAAAAAACCGAAAGCATTAGCTCCAAGTTCTCGTACATTCTAGCTGATGTCATATGCTCATCATCAGTATCAGTCAACCCCAGCTTCAATTTACTTCAGTTCGCGACATTCTTTCACTGTCGAGACTTGGAGAGAAACTCAAACAAATCCAGTCTTTCAGGTGCTTGTACGTACCCACCAAAAGAGGTATATCTTTCATTATTACATCATTACAAGACAAACTAGTGTTAAATCCAGAAACTTTCTGAGAATTAGATTCCTCCTTTCCTGTTTTCTAATTTTCAGTTAACAAGTGTTCCAATATCTTGTATCTAATTAGGAAAACTCACTGCACTGTTGGTAAAACTGTCCTGTGTTGACTTTTAATCCTAACAGTGCAACATTGCTGTATCAACCAGTTTGGTAATTTTTGCTGTAGATTAAAATAAATGCTTTTTACTATCATCACAAATTAAAACTATTTCATCAATTTTTGGTTCATGCAATGTGTTTCCATAGAATTTTTGAATAAGTTCATTGAGATATTCTTTTCTAAAATGTTTACTTCTGTATCTAAATTTTTTATAGAATTTTTTGAGTATCAGATTCATCATAATTCCTAACAGTACTGGAACAGTGGATTTCTGTAAGAAATGTAGCAGGTGTAAGAGGAATAAGTTCCTGTGGATATTTTGACAGATATGCAAATGATCTACAATTAATGATTGATTCACAGTCATAGATTACAGTATTTAATTCTTCCTGACTCAAAACAGATTTATTGAAACTGTTTTATATTTGAAGGTCACTCCAGAAATTTCCTCCCAATCTAATTTAGAAAGATCATCAAATGCTGCTCAGAAATTAGTTCTATTATCAGAATAAATTGTGCTTGTCCTTCCATGTGTAGTGATAAACTGCCTAAACGCCACCCAAAAAAATTCTTTTAAAAAAAAATCTAATAAGCTTTCTCAGTGTCAGAACTTAACCGATAGGATATATTCTAAAATGATCAATAATATTGGGTATAATTTCAGTGAAATTAACTCCTTTAAATAAACTATAGTTTAATAACTCTCACTGAGGTCTAGAAGATGAAAAAGAAACAGATGAATCTTTGAAGTTTTACTATCTAATTTAATGACTGTTCTGTGAGGAAAATAGTGACATTTGTTATTCAATTCAGTTTCCGGTATGCCTTTAGTGATAGTCATTTTTTCCTATTCCTGGAATACCTTTTGATAATCATTACCACTTTTTAACTTATTAATTCCTTTTTCCTATATCTTCCAGGTTACTTCTTTTTTACCAAATAAATGTGTAGAATTGCACTTCCACTGCAATTCCATTTCATCCCCCCAAATAGAGCATGTATTAGTTTCATTCCTATGTCGAGGAACATCCAATAATGCCATAATTATTTCATTTACTTGGCTATTAAAATTACACAAAGGACAAATCTTTTGCTCTTGAAGTCACTAACTTGTATTGTTATGAAGGCCTACCATTGCAGAGAGCATTGCAAGTTCAGCTGTGTCTTTTTTTTTTCCAGGAATAGAACTCTTCTTTTTAAAATTAAGATGAGAACAAAACCCAATTCTTGCTAATACGACCATTTGCTCACCTCAGACTTCTTGACGAAGGAAGTTCATCAGTTTTTGTTAAGAAAGGAAACTCATGGAATCATTTGATAAGTTTTTCTTCTTTCCTATGTAAGCAGCATAGGCAACTTGCATCTAATGGAATTTGAAAAGTATCAAGCTTTCTTGTGTTCTTCCTAAGCTCTTCAAAGCTTAGAACATAGCTTCTAGTTCATCATTATGATGCTGCCAAATCTGTCTTGGCTCATCCAGTCATGGTATTATTCATAACCTTGCTTAATAAATCACGCAACGTAAATATGGACGAGAAGATTGCTTTTTATCTTCACAAATTGTACTAGATATTACATTTATCTTCATCAGGTATAGACTTG